CAAATCCAGTTAGCAACATTATATCATTGGAGGCAAATCTAATTTCAGCCCCAGTGTGTTACACTCGTCAGTGACTCTCTCTCTCTCTCTCTCTCTCTCCTCTATTCTCCCTCTCTCCCTCTGTCCATCCGTCCATCTTTCTCTGTGAGTGTCACCTGCCCTCCGAGCTGGCGACGCTGGGTCTCGGCCTTAGCGTGAGAGCCCCATTACCCTGACTGGAGGCTTTGTTTTCCCTGTGAATCTGCGAGAGAGAGTGTGTGTGTGTGTGTGTGTGTGTGTGTGTGTGTGTGTGTGTGTGTGCTGGAGGAGAATGTCAGATAGACAGTGATTTGTTACATCAGCGAGCATTCCAGCTCTGAGATCCTCTGAGTGTGTGAGGAGACACACAGGGAGGGAAAAATGTGTTGTTTGTTGTTGTGTTTCCGTCCACATCAACTTGTTGACAAATTGTTTATGTGGATGAAAAAAAAAAAAAGAAGAAGAAGAAGAAAACTGTGATAAATAGCAGCAGCGGGAAGTATAAACAATGACAAAGACTCAGCTGAAACGAGCTGTGTATAAAACTAACAGACAGTTTGCAGAAAATTCACTCAACAGTTGGATGGAAACATAGTGTAGTGTGTTGGGGGTGGGGAGGGTGGGGGGGCGGAGCTTCCCAGCATGCTCTGAGGCAATGTGGTTATGGTCATAAGTTAAATTGTGTTCTAAATCACAGATGTCACTAGATCATGCCCCGGCCGATATTCCATGATATCGAGATATTATGGAATATCTTTCAAATTAGTTTTTTATATTTTAAAAAACTTTAACTGTAACTTTAACGGTTAACTGTAACATAAAATGCTATAACACGTATATACTATAAAAAAAACACTAAAACATAAAATACAATAATATAATTATTTATGATTCAAAAAAATCCCTGAAACATAAAATAGAATAATCTAATTATATATTGTGAAAAAAAAACCTGAAACATAAAACAATATAGTTATATATTATTATTATTATTATTAATAAATTATATCATAATAAAAAATACATAACAATCGATATGATAATATTGTGTATCGTGATGTTTGGGACTGTATTGTGATTTTCAGATATCGCCCGAGCCTATTCTTCATAAGTTATGAACTTATATAAATAAAGTTATGAGCTTATATATATAAAGTTATGAGCTTATATAAATAAAGTTATGAGCTTATATATATAAAGTTATGAGCTTATATAAATAAAGTTATGAGCTTATATATATAAAGTTATGAGCTTATATAAATAAAGTTATGAGCTTATATATATAAAGTTATGTGCAGAGTAAGCACTTTCCCTCCAGTATCGGTGTGAGAGGAGGCCAGTGTTGACAGTACACCTGTTGCTGTATCACACAGTCTCTCATGAGATCATCTCTCTGCAGAAACAGATGAGGTAAATGTGTGTATAGGTTAGTTAAGAGTGTGTGTGTGTGTGTGTGTGTGTGTGTGTGTGTGTGTGTGTGTGTGTGTGTGTGTGTGTGTACTGAAGGTCTATATTAGCAGCTCCACTGTGCTGTGTGTGTCTGAGCTCAGGGGCCACGGCTCCTGGCAAATGGAGCCACTGAGCAAGATACCATCTGCCTCTGCCCATCTCAGCCTCACGCCAACACACACACACACACACACACACACACACACACACACACACACACACACACACACACACACACACACAGAGCTATACAGCTCAACTCACAACGGAAACACTTTGAGCGCACATATATCAACATGGAAATCCCAGCTACTATAAATAATAAATTGAATGCCACAAACAAACTGGATCTGGCACTTGAACCCAGGAGGCAGTGGATCATACGTGGATCATACATGGATCATACGTTGATGGGACGACATGTCAACTGTCGCTTTGTTCCAATAGAAAGTCAGAGGAAATCAGATCTTTGGGAGTCGGGGCCAAGGAAACGTTTTTAACATTACTGGTAATCCTTGTGTTGAAGAACCACAATGAAAGAAAAAAAAGAAAAATGAATGAAATGCCTGGTGCTCCACATTCCTGTGTGCTGCACTTATTCATCTGCGGCCTGAAGTCTGGGGCTGAAGTCGGGTGGTGCTTTATCACATATGGATTCTTATTATGGCGCGTTTAGATCAGACATGAACTGACTCAAATCTACTCAAAATCTTAAGTCAATGGAAAAAACTATTAACAACTTTATTACCTGTAAAACAAAAGATGTGGATCATATGAAATAATCCATGTGGTAAAAAACATGAAGGTGAAACATCACGTTCATCGCATCACTGACGTAGAAGCTCTGTTAAATAAAATGATGTGACCTTTATATTTTTTATTTATATATCATAGTATAAGGTCAGATTTAATAGTTTATCTTTATATTTTATCTTTATCTGTATTTATTTTAATGAATGCTTTTGTATGATGTAGTTTTTATGTTGTCGCACGTATAGCACTTTATAAAATTTCTTTAAATTTAAACGTTAATTGTCCTCTATTGGACATCCCCCACAAGCCTGAGACGACACTTGGCCTAAAGCCACATGACCATGTGACAAAGCCATCTTTGTAGAAGCCAACCTGACTTGTGATGTGTTTTGTGATGATGACCCTGACGAAGGCCACAGTCTGAAACACGTCGGCCTGATGAAGTTCTGCTGTTTCCTGAGAGTGCTGCAGGAGTTCTGACCTCCGGAGATGAACAGGTGTGCTAATATGCTAATTAGCATATTTGAAAGTCCCACCAACACAGTCCAGGTTTTGACCCAAACGGTGTGTTTGATTAGAATGATCCATGGCACTCAGGAGAACCAGGTCCCGACCGTCCACGTCGCAGCGCAGAGGAACATTTCCTATATGTTAGAGCGAAGTGCGGCGCTATTAGATTACCCTCGGAGACTGAGGCGTCTCTGTCTGTACCAACGGATGGAAGCAGCAAGTCCATCACATTCCCTGTGGATGATGTCTTCAGCACAGCTCAGGGCGCAGGAGAGAGAGAGAGAGAGGGAGAGAGTGTGTGTTTGTGTGTATCATGGGTGTATTTTGATGTAATGTGATCAGTAATGAATTTTGTGTTGCATTAGGGGTGGAGGGTGGAGTGGGGGGAGGAGGGGGGTGTGTGTGTGTGTGATGGGGGTCAAGATGCGAGATGATGGAGGGAACAAGAACAAGAGGAGACTGACTGCTAGTGTCCGGGAGTCTCCAACATCTAATCTAATGAAGAAACACGGGGTGGGGGGAAGTGTGGTGGGTGGTGGGGGGGGGTGATGAGAAGAAAGAGAGAGAGAGCTAACAAATGAGGTTAAATCCTAACGGGAGGTTGGAGGGGGGGGAGGGAGGGGGGGGGCTACTGGGCTGGTTATATGGCTGTGGAGGTTGTGTGAGGGGGGCAGATGTGTCGATGCTAAATCCATTAAGGCCTTGTGAGCCCCCACTACCCTACCCAACACCCCCCCACCCCCCCCCACCCGTGCCCACCACCTGTCCCCACACCTCAGACACACACACACACACACAACACACCACACACACACGCACACACACACACATTTAAATCAAAGGAACTCTTGTTCACTTAAGGAGGGGGGGGGAGAAAGAGAAAGCACTGGCGCTTCCTAAATGAGTTAACCATTCGGACTGTCAGGGCCAACGGCATGTCTGCTGCACACACACACACACACACACACTACACACACACGCACACACCCGCACACACACCACACACACACACACACACACACACACACACCCGCACACACACCACACACACACACACACACACACACACACACCCGCACACACACCACACACACACACACACACACACACACACACCCGCACACACACCACACACACACACACACACACACACACACACCCGCACACACACCACACACACACACACACACACACACACACACCCGCACACACACCACACACACACACACACACACACACACACACCCGCACACACACCACACACACACACACACACACACACACACACCTCCTACTAGTGGTGACCTAATCCATCACTGGACCATGATCTGGCAGCAATGGCTGCTGGGTAATGCAGTGAGGAAGTCAAGCTGCCTAAAATGATACTTATAATGAGATTTATGATGAATTAGCTAAAAACAAACAGCGGATTAAATCCTCAGTGAAGCATCAGGACACACGTGATCATGTGACACGTAGAATCAACATCATCAGGTGCACGAAGCATCTTTAGAAAATATTACACAGATTTACCTTCAGCCGTTTCCTCAAATAAATACAGTATATATACGATAGTGAGGTCAACGCCTCACACACACACACACACACACACACGCACACACACACACACACACTTCATCTCAACATCAATGATAGAACCCTGTCTCACCTGAACACACTGGCAGCAGGTGACATTAAAACATGGATCACTGTCGTTTAAGTAACTTTTATTTATTCACTCACTGGATTTATTTACCCAAGATTCAATGAGAGCGAAACGTTTGCTCTGACTTAGTGCACGGATCGTCTGACCTGCAACAACAACTCACTTTATGTTTATAATATAGCCACATATAGAGAGACCCTATCTTCTGCATTTGGCCACAAGTTCTCATCCACATCATCATCATCATCATCATCATCATCACACCCTCTGTCCTCTCTTCTGTCAATACGTCCAGACATCCAGCGTTCATTGTGTCCAAGAGCGGACATGTGACCAGAAACTTTCCCGCCTTCACGAGGACAAAGATCCTGAACAACAAAAATGTGCCAAAATCATTTTGTTGACAAGATGAGAGTGAAATGAACCAAGAACAGAGTGTAAAGACTCAACAACAAAAAGACCTTTTCTTCCTTTTTCAAATTTCCATGTTTGATTTAAATAATTTAAATCTAGGAGGGAAGAACCAGCGGTGGCATGTTTGTGGACACGTGTCCATGTGTTCAAGCGAGTGAGTGTGATTGTGCGTCGTCCGGTCTCCACTGACCTGTAGCAGATCCCACTATGTCTCTGGACGGGGACTCGGACATGGCGTCGGCCAGTCTCTCCCGCAGGCCTTCGTCGCTGGCGTCCGCCGATCCGATGTTGTGCCGCGGCACGCCGAAGCTCTCCGGCCAGCTGCCGCACACCTCCAGCAGGGTCACGCCGCGCCCATCGAACGGCCCTGCAGACACAAACACAGAACACCCAACAGATCACTACCTGCAACAGTGGTGTGGAGTCACTGCGAACCGCCTCTGAATCAAACCTGGATCTTTCAGAAGGACGAGTGGATGTCGAGCTGCAGGTTGTCTGTCAACATTTTGTTATCAGTGCGTTTGAAACTCGCCACGTACGTTAACTTCCTCATTATCTTCATAGAAAATGTGATCCAGTTGCAGTTTGGACATTTCGTACAAACAGAAACGTCATTTTTTAAGAGACAGTATAAAGTAAATATAGATCATATTCTAAGATTAGATCAGACTTTAACTGTATTAAAGGGATCATTATCAAACATACTGTACAAGTCTAATACAGAGCGCGGTCTGTAGCATGTAATGAACAGCAACTGTGATTTCAGACAGGAAAGTAAAAACCTACAACAGGAAACCTGATGCAGCAAACACTAAACTCAACACTGAGACATGTTTCTGTGAAAATATGTGTCTATCATGTGTGTCCAACACATGCAGAGGAAAATACAGACAAATGAAAATACACACAACGAGCCACAAGACATTTAACAGCTCAAATACTCAAGTTAGGGCAGGTCAATTTGCAGGATATGCTTCTATATAATCAGGTTTCCTGCCACGTGATATGTTTCATAAGTTGTTTTTTTTTTTTTCAGTTTTGCATCACCTATGCCTGAAACATGAAATACAACATTATTATATTATACACGGCCCATTTCCTGCTGTATAAGCCTGTAATACGTCTGTAGCCGCTGTCACAGAACTTTTCTATTTCTCTTTGCATGAAAGTGGCTTTAAGTGGGTTGTGTTTCAATACAGTCTGGCTTCTGCTGAGTCTGTGTTATTAGTTGTTTAATTAAAAGAATAGATTTTTCAAATCACAGCTGGTAATCAAACATTCGACTCTCTTTCTTTTACAGTGTTAAACACACGTCAGACGAACATTTCTCTCCCCTGCACAACACAAATTAATTTACTCCACACTGGTTCCACTGGAGTCCAGCAGATCAGCTGCTTTAAGAGTCACAGACTCACACACACACACACACACACACACACACACACACACACACACACACACACACACACACCTAACAAACAACTTGTAAGCACAACACAATCTTCATGCCTGTCAAACCAAATCCACACAGACCTATGCTGCATCTTAATCTCTTCTCCTCTGTCTGCCATAATTTCTGCAATCAGGGAGATCTTGTGCTGTGGAGCCAGAGAGTCTGCAACCTGCCTCTCTCTCTCTCTCTCTCTCTCTCTCTCTCTGTGTGTGTGTGTGTGTGTGTGTGATAAGCCAGCCAGGCAGGCATGCAGACACTAAAACAACTGGTTTATTCTATTAGTGTGTTCATTTGACTCAGTCACTGTGCCTGCAGCACTGAGAGGTGATAAAGGCTGAGGAGGAGGAGGAGGAGGAGGATGAAGGTGACGTGCTCCTGTGAGTCAGCACGTCAAAAAAACGAAACAGCAACAATACAAACCACATGACCGCACGGCTTATCATCATCATCATCATCATCATCATCGTCGTCGTCGTCGTCATCATCATCAGTTCTGCATATCAGCAGCTTCCTCTTCGTTAACACACAGGAAGTGTGTGACAGACAGGAAACAGCTCATGAGCTTCATCATTTTTAAAGTGTTGTGTGTTTTTATGGTGTTTGGTGTTTTTTACAGTGCAGTGTGTTTTATTGTTTTGTGTATATTGTTGTTTTTATCTGTCTTTCAGCAGCTCCAAAGAAGATTTGCTTTGCTCCTGTAGCTTCTAACCTCCAAGCATTTTATACTTCTGCTCACAAACAAATCTGGAAGCTCAGATACTGGACTCCTGCTTCATCTGCAGCGTTTCTATCTCTTCTTCTCCCTCTTCTCTCTCTCTCTCTCTCTCTCTCTCTCTATCTGGGAGCACAGGAATATGTCTCTAGAGGTCGTGTCGGTTTTAGCAAAACCCCAGACATGATGACATCAAAGAACAGAGTGAAGATAAGGACGGAGGAGATCCTCTCCTCCTGGAAAGACCAGCTTCTGTTTATATCTCTGTCTATGTGCTGGACCTCCAGTGCAGAAAACATGGATGGACACACAGATCGAGGGCGAGTGGTAAATATGTTAAAGTTGCCTCGCCCCAAAGCCTCAGAGATACATCTAATTATTTATATATTTATTTGACAGCGTTGCAGTTTGTTAAGTTAAACTCAAGGTGCTGCAGCAAATGATGCTTAAATCCTCCAGATCGAGCCACGCACACTCAGACCTGCGGGAGCAGCTCTGAACAGGTTGATTTAAGGTGGACATGTAAAACCTCTGCCCCACGGTCAGCTGGAGGCTTCAGCAGGTCGAACCTTTATCAGCAACGAGCCACGCTGAGCTGCCGTGTCCAGGTCGGCCCTCAAAATTAAATTCAGCGCATACACACACACATCTACCATGCAGGACATAATAACATCATATCACCTCGAAGGCAAGTGTGTGTGTCAGTGTTGTCCGACACACACACACACACACACACACACACACACACACGAAAACACCCACCAGGCTCTCATGGCTGGCTTTGATGGGAGGCCTGCTGGCACTAAAGGGGAATCCTTTGAAAAATCAATCCAACACACACACACACACACAATGCTTCTGAAGTGCAGCAAAGTTATCAGGAAGCTCAGCCATTGTGTGTGTGTGTGTGTGTGTGTGTGTGTGTGTGTGTGTGTGTGTGTGTGTGTGTGTGTGTGTCTCTGGAAGCCGGTCAGTGTTATCACAGTAGGGAGCATGGAGGCCCGTGCAGCCTCTCGCCCCAGCATTAGCACCTGTCAGTGGCCTGCAGCAGAGCTGACACTGGCCAGGCCTCAGGGTACACGTACACACACACACACACACACACACACACACACACACACACACACACACACACACACACACACACACACACACACACACACAGTAGTCTGCTCCCTGATAGCCAGTAAGCCCGGCAGATCAAAGGTTTTGACTGCAGTGGCTTTTCTGGATGATAAGAGCTTGGCAGGAGGTTAGGAAGAGCTTTAGGTTTATCAGAGCAGCCTTCGACCAATATGGGTATTTGAGGGCCGATACTGATTGTTTTAGACCTGAACCACCGATCAGTGATCAGAGTTTAAACCTGATTTTAACGTCAAAAACAATTTGCACATTTGTTCTGTTGCTGCTCTGCTCCTGTACAAGAGGATTTTAAATGTATATGAATGTAAAGCTTCTGAAACTATATTTACAGCACCTGGAAAACAGTCATAATATCTGCAGTCATCGGGCTAATGTTACAGTATAAAGATATACAGTTATTGGTTTGTATGCACCTGATATATAACAAGAGTTCAATCTGAATTAGAGACACAAAGAGTCCTTGGCCGCTGTGATCAATCGATTATATCTATATATATGATCAGGGACAAAGTCCACAGTCCTCTCTAGGTGATGCACAAATCAAGTCTGTTTCTTCCAAAGTTACACTTTGTTTCCTTATTATCAATTTTAACAGGTTTTATAAAACACATTTTCAAATATCTGACACCAATATTTCTCACGGTAATTTTAAAATATTCTTATTCTAAAGGTTTTTCTCCACAGGAAGTGTTTTTGTCCACACACAGGCTGTTTCACTTGTCATATACACTGTACGTGCTATAAACACGAGGGTGACCTGCACTGAACACTGCGCCTGAACACATCGTGCACACACACTGCTGCTGCTTTCACTGCCCAACTGTTACAGTAGAAGAAATAACTACATGACTACAGCTAAAGGCAGAAACTGAGCGTTCTTACTTTAGTGTAATCTCATCAAACATCTGAACACGTCACAATCACCGACTTAGATCGACCCTGTCGGCCCACTGTACGTGCTGCTCACTGACTTCCCCTTTTATTCTAATTTCTGTCTGTAAACCTCTGGAAATGTGAGGATGTGCTGTTGGCAGGAGGAGGAGGAGGATTCAAAACACACACCCTGGATTGTTGTTTTTCCCTCCATCATGTTAAAACCCAGCTGGATTAAAAGCCACTCTCCACCCAGCTGTTAGCCCCCACATACTGGCCCTACTTATCCCTGCAGCCAGCGCTACTTTCCTTAAAGATTTAATCACACTGCAGCGGGACGTGTGTGTGTGTGTGTGTGTGTGTGTGTGTGTGTGTGTGTGTGTGTGTGTGTGTGTATACCTTTACAGCAGGGGCTTAGGATGGCACAGTTGGACATGACATCACACGTGCACATCACAATCGCCCTCGCTGACGCACATACAGCGCTTTACTTTTCTATGGTTTAAATGTCCATTCATTCTGTTTGTATGAGTTAATTTAGTAAAAATATATGCACAGTGTTTATACAGTTGTTAATTATGTATTTACAAGTTTAAATTTTTAATGTTATAATAATCTCCTGAATCCATCTCATTGGTTTTCCTCTTATTTACACTCAGTCTAAATCCTTCTAACTGCTGATTGGTTGGTTTAGTGACATGTGACTTAGAGACAGGAAGTGTTGTTGTTGTGAAGTGGACAAACTGTGGAGAAAAGTAAAAACCTGATACTCCATTGGTTTGTTTTGACAACTTGTAGAGGTCAGTAGAAGTTGCAGCCCAGGTGAGCAACACCTGACAGACTAACATCACCTGCTGAATCACTGCTTCACTTTACCAACACTTGCTTTAATGTCACGCTTCTAACTTCATATCAAACTGCTCTGATGACACATTGTTGTCAGATCTAAATACGTTTCCAACTGTTTTGGGTTCCTTAAAAAACACTGCTGATTTCCTCACTTAGCATAAAAGTGTAACACAAACACACACACACACACACACACACACACACACACACAGACACACGTAGGTGAAGGTAAAATGTTCCGAGGCCTCATGCCACTGTTTCTCGGTTACCTGTGCAGCCGAGATGCTAACGCCTGGTTAGCGCTAATTCAATTAGGCTTTAGTGCGGCGGGGCTGAT